GGGTCCCCGCCGCCGCGCAGACTTGCTCCCCCGCCCGCTGGGCCCCGCCGCCCTCGCAGACCCTCGCTTTCCGTGTGCCTGCCTGCCTGCCTGCCGGGGCTGCGGTTCTGTTTCCCTTTCAGAGTGAGCCGGGGAGGGGGCAGGCTTTGGCAGGTGCTTTAATTAGCTTGCCAGGAGGTGTCACCGGGCCGTGGAGGGTGCCAGGTATGCTTCCGGACGGGGCCGAAAGCGGAGCTTGGGCATGGGAGGGACTCAGTGAAATCTTTATCTGATGGGCAGATGGAGGAGTGTTCCCAAGCGATGGCAGAAAGAGCAGACTTTTGGTGGTTTTGCTGGTGATCCGATGGGAACCCTGCAGTGCTGTTAATCTAGTTAGTAAAGGGCTGGAGCTATTTACCTGGTGCTAATCTAACAGTAACAGTAACTTTGCTATTATTTATTGCTGACATTAGGTATCTCTAATACCTACTATATTCTTGGACCCCCACGCCCACCCCCAGAAGACTGTGTGTGTTTTTCAGGTTTCATGCTCCCAGTCCCAAGAAGCAATTACCTAATTTATCTCTTTCGGCAATGAGGAAACTCAGGCTCAGAGAGATTTACTTGCCCAAGGTCACACCTCTGGTATGGGGACACTGAATGGTACTGGAAACCCAAGATATGTGACTCCACAGCCTGGTATTAAATCATCACTGAGCAGACTTTGAAGTCATACATTTATGTCCTTAGTACCATGCAAATGAGGGCGCTGTGGTCCTGGGGGGCTCAGTCAAGTTTGCTAACATTCTCTTCTCAAGGAAGAGTCTTAGTGTCTGCATTATATGCCACGCTGCATGGATGCTGCAGGGACAGGAAGGCTGGTAGAGAGCTGAAATGTAGTTCTGCTGTGAAGGAGTTCACAGACTAGGGGGAGGCAGAAAGAAAAGGCACACTTAACGTCCAGTGTCAGAGGCATGAATGTGCTAAGTGCCCAGGAGGACAGAGATACCCAACATCCCTGGGAACAGGGAGGTTGCCTGCTAAAAATGATAGGGTAAGAAGAGACGAGGTTGGGGACTTGACCCCATTGGAAAAGGAACTACTAGAAAGGAAAGAGGAATTCCAGGAGAGTGGTATCAGAAGCCAAAGAACTAGAACATTTCTTAGAGGAAGTGGGCCCCAGCGTCAGGTGCAAAAAATTCCACTGGTTTGGGGGAAGAAACCATTGGTGTTACTAATACTGAGAGTGGTTTTAAGTGTTGCTGGCTGAAGTCAGCGGTCGTGGGAGACTTCAACTATAGACACTTGTTCAATCCACTTGGCTGTGAAGCAAAGATGAGATAAGGATAGTTGCTAGAGTGGAAAGTGGGGTTGAAGAAAGGTTGGTTGGTTGGTTTTCATTTGAAAGCTGAGACAGGCTTAAGCATGCTTGTTATATTGGAGGAAAAGAGAGTAGGGTTGGGGAAGGGTTAGCTCAGGTGGTAGAGTGCAGTGTTTAGCATGCATGAGGTCCTGGGTTCAATCCCTAGTACCTAATTCCAAAGACAAAATTTATCTCCCTTAGCCTACAAAATAGATAAATACAATACTAAAAGGCAAGTAAGAGAGTGAGAGTTGGAGAAATGAAGAGGGATGGGGTTAAGAGCAAGATTTCTGAAGCCAGTGGAGGAGGATGGGATTCCATGAAACTGCAGTCCCCCTTAACTGCGGCAGCAAGTGCGTTGAGTGAAAGAGGCATGAATTTAAGAATGTGAAAGGATTACTACTCAGGGATGTCTCTTTTCCCTTGAGGAATATAAGGCCAAACAGTCTACTGAAAGTGAGATGGGGAGTAGTGGAGGAGAAATTGAGGGAGGTGTTGAAGGTGTAGGACGGCCGCCTAGGGCAGTGGGCCAGCTAGGGTGAGGTGGAGTTGCTCAGGGATGGTGAAGGCCAGCAGAGGTGGAGTCTGAAGTCATGCTGGCGCGGTCTGCAAGGATACAGATTTTCCCCAGCAGCGTTTAGAAGTCTAGGTGTCAAAATTGTTGGGACAGAGTTTGAATTGATCCAGGGTTGGCGTCTTGGCATATTTTTATATATTTATTGTACAACTGTTACCTACATTTCTACAAACATGCCTTATTTCCACACCATAGCTTCTTTCGGGTGAGGTCTGTGGAAGGAATTTATAATAATCAAATGCATAGGAGCCAGACAGGTGACATAAATGACCAAAGCTATGAGTGTCTCTTAAACAAAAGCATGCTCTGTGTACATTTAACATGTAGGAATAGCCTTCCTTTCCACAAGGAAATATGCTCTCATTTTTCTTAAAACACATGTCCCTCTTTGTCTACCTTTTATTTTTGTTACGTTTGATAGACACAGATATTAGAACAATTTCATTTTCTTTATAATTCTGCTGTTATAAAAACAATAGTGCCAGCTGAGTGACAAGTAGCAACTGATAGTCCTATATCAGAGTGCCAGACGGGAGCGCATGTGCCCTCTCTGAAGGGTACAGCCGGTGCTTGACACTGGGGAATTGTTGCCATGTAGAAGTATGGGCCCAGTATAGCCAACCTTCTGAGTTTTCAAGGGAAAGTTGGAATCTAGAATGTCATGGGAAATCTCTTACTTTTTAAAAATGATGGTAATTAACTAAAACATTTAAAAATACCGCGGTCCAAGAAAAATCTTACTTGGAAAACTGGTGAAATTCAAATAAAGCATATAGATTAATAATCAGCCTTGTATCAATGTTACTGTCCTGGTTTCTATAATCTCACCCTGCTTATGTAAGATGTTAATTTGGGGAAAGTTGGATGCAGGGTACTTGGCAATTCTTATTTTTGTAAGTTTTCGCTAGGTATAAATTAATTTCAAAACAAAAAGTTAAAAAAAATTAACGAAATGCTGGAGTCCCATACTGTGCAAGCCAAGCATAATTCCTCTGCTGGCCACCAGGGTGAGCCTTCTGGTTTTTATCTGGGATTTCTTGACTGCTCAGTGCCTTGAACAGCACCTTGTACATGGTAGACATTCAGTAAATACTAGTGCTCTGCTTGGGGGAAAATGTTTAGAAAGGGATCATTGTGTTACATCTACGCATTATTTGACTTTTAAGACTGTCTTTTTTTTTTTTTCCTAACAGGTTTTACAAAAGAGACGAACTATTCTACTTCTAGATTTTTTTCCAGTTTTTTCCTATAAGTCAAAACATCTCAAAATGGAGGCCTAAAACTCTTAAAAGGGACTTAGTCTAATCTCCGGGAGGTAGTTTTGTGCATGAATAAACAAAGTCGTTAACTGGAGTTTTTGGTGTCCAAAGAATCTTAATTGTACAAATAGTATAACTATAAAGTAATAATAAGTTTGATACTGAATTTGACTTGTGGATGTAAAGGAGTGACTGTAGCTGGGACATACTGTTGAAGTTGTCCAGGCAGCTCTCTCACTGGCAGCTGTGTAGAACAGAAAAAAAGAACCTGTGTTTGGTAAAGGTTTAAAAATGAGTGACAGTTATCTGGAGCAAAGAGTCAGTGTTCAGCCCTCTGCTAAATTAGAGAAACGTGCATATAGAACCTTTGACATGTTAAAGGATTCCTGCAAGGATAAAGAAATGTCAGGAAGAGAACTTTTTGACAGGTGCAACAAATCTAGAGAAAATAGGAAAAATAACCGTGATGATTGGTAAGGAAATTAACCATTTATAAGACTACTGATATTTTAAAAGCCAAAAATCTTGTTTGTTCAAATGGGCTATTATTACCTCTGGAATGATTAGAATGAGAATGATGGCTGGATGGTTACATTTTGGTAAAGGAGCAAACTTAATTCAGAAAAAGAAAAATCACACAGCAACAGTAAAACAAAACAAAACAAAACAAAACAAAACAAAACAAAAACACCAAGAATGTGTTTATAACCATGCGTAAAATTTTTGACTAAGGAAAAGAACTGAGGTTAGACACAATTAACTCACCTTGGAGGGAATTAATCAGTGGTACTGAGATATGTTTCTCCTGCTATCTGGAAATAGGGCATTCAAGTCTGCATCAGGAAGCCCCAGCATTTGTGGGACCCAGGAATCATGCTTGCAAATCACTTCTAGAAAAACCATGAGCTGTTTATTGGACATTGTTGATTTTGGTGCATATCCTACTTACTAAGAGCTAGTTATCACTGAGAAATTCTGAATTTTGAGGTTTCTGCTGTTCAAAAGAAGTGGATTGTGACAAAGTAAATTTATTATTTTTTGTCATGATAAATTCTGATTCAAGGTATGCTGTGAAATAATTGGACCAAAGCCAATTTTTTTTGGTACTTTTTTTTTTTTTGATTATCCATCTTCGCTTGCAGACTCAGCATTATGACTTTTAGCTGTTTTAAAAAATAAATCCACTAGCGGGAGATTTGATGTTGGCTCTCAACAGCTGATCCAAAAAGACCAAGTGAGCAAGTACATTCATCTCTGATAATTTATTTGAAATAGAATGTTTAATTTGTTAAGATCTAATGATACCGCTATGACTAAGCAAGCAGGTACCTGACCATCTATTGGGAAGTAATCATTATTTAATAAATCTTGAAACCAAGTCTTGAGATGTATCAGCCAAACTCTTACTATTTAAGCTCTTTATTTGGAAGAAAATTTTAGATTGTTTTGTTCTTATTAAAATGATTGTAGGAAGAAAAATTACTTAATTTGAGCAAGATTTAGCGTATACTGTATTTCATTAACTAAGATGTCATTTGTAAAACGCACCATTATTTTATCTACCTCTAAGAAATAAAAATGCTATTAAAATGATATACCGTTAATTATAAGATTCCTCTCTGTAACAGAGATATTAAAACGTGCATCTTAGAATCAGTGAAACATGGTCTGAGGTGGGTCTTATGCCTCTTTTTTTTTTTTTTCTGGCTGCCAAATTTCACAGTTTAAAAAAAAAGCAAATAGGAATGATTTGAATATTTTGTGCATCTAGAACACTTACACAGCATAGCTTTCTGCTGTGTGAGGCATTTTTTCTTCAGGCTGGCCAAGTGTCACTGAAGCATACTAGTGGAGAGGGTGACCCACCTGTGGAGATGCCTGACACTAAGTGGCGTCTTGATGACCTAAAGCACTATTCATGTTTACATTGTATGTATAAAGAGTATACAAAGGTGTAGATTGTACATAATTGTCCCTTACAATGTGTCAGTATGGAATTTACAATCTTGCTGTGATGAAATCCTAAATGCATAGAAGAAAAAGAATGACAGATTTCCTGTTCTAAGTGAAGATAATGAAATTAATAAAAAAAAAAACAAAAGCCATGCACAAAACTACCTCCCCAGAGAAAGGCTAGTCCCTTTTCCCCCATATCCGTTTTATTATGAACATAGTGGAAAACAGCATGTTTTTATCAAATTTGATGAAAAGTGCCAACACATTTGAATTGAAATACGACTTTTCATGTGAGCTGTACCGAATGTCTACATATTCGGCTTTTCCTGCTGGTGTGCCTGTCTCAGAAAGGAGTCTTGCTCGTGCGGGTTTTTATTACACCGGTGTGAATGACAAGGTCAAATGTTTCTGTTGTGGCCTGATGCTGGATAACTGGAAACAAGGAGACAATCCGATCGAGAAGCATAAAAAGTTGTATCCTAGCTGTAGCTTTGTCCAGAGTCTAAGTTCAGTTAACGTTTCGGGAGCCACTTCTCAGCCTCCTTTTCCTTCGTCAGTAACAAATTCCACACATTCATTACTCCCAAGTTTGGAAAACAGTGGCTATTTCAGCGGCTCTTACTCAAGCTTTCCATCGAATCTTGTAAACTCTGGACCAAATCAGGATTTCTCTGCCATGAGGATGAGTCCCTACCGTTGTGCAATGAATACTGAGAAAGCCAGATTGCTTACTTTCCAGATGTGGCCATTGAGCTTTCTGTCGCCAGCAGATCTGGCAAAAGCAGGCTTTTACTACGTAGGACCTGGAGACAGAGTGGCCTGTTTTGCCTGTGGTGGGAAACTGAGCAACTGGGAGCCGAAGGATGATGCCATGTCAGAACACCTGAGGCATTTCCCCAACTGCCCGTTTCTAGGAAATCAGCTTCAAGACACTTCAAGATACACTGTTTCTAATCTGAGCATGCAGACATATGCAGCCCGCTTTAAAACCTTCTGTAACTGGCCCTCTAGTGTTTCGGTTCATCCTGAGCAGCTTGCAAGCGCAGGTTTTTATTATACGGGTAAGAAACTTAATCTGATAATGATAATAATAAAAACAACAAGTATTCAACATGTTTTTTTAAAAAACCTTTTGTTTTTGGTGGGAGGTAATTAGGTTTACTTATTTATTTTTGGAGGAGGTACTATGGATTGAACCCAGGACTTTGTGCATGCCAGGCATGCACTCTACCACTTGAGCTATACCCTCCCCCTTAGTTTTCAACATGTTTTATCTTATACATGTTAGTGGTCAAATCCTATGTATTCATCAGTTTGGGTCCAAACTTAATTCTAGGTAACAGTGATGATGTGAAATGCTTTTGCTGTGATGGTGGGCTGAGGTATTGGGAATCTGGAGACGACCCGTGGGTGGAACATGCCAAGTGGTTTCCAAGGTAATTGTTCTGAAATTTTCTTTGCGTGTGTTTATTGTGAGATGAGTTATGTGTGTTTATCTTATAGTCAGCTGTTACTTTATTCTGTCTTTGTTTCAAAAATACATTTCTAAATAACTTTAGGATGGATTACTAAGAAAAATAATTACTTTAAGAAATAGTTTGGGGTTTTTGTGTGTAATTTATATATATGTATATTTATATATCTTATGCGCATTATAAAACCCAAGTCACACATTGTAGAAAAGTACAGAGACGAAAATTAAAGTCTCCAGAAATCTCACAGTTAAAATTTTAGTGAACACCCCTCCAGAGACATCTCTTCATGCATATGTGCATGTATAGATACATGTATACAATTTTACATGAATTAGATATTGCATGACCTGTTTTGTTTGGGTAAGGGAGATCAGAAGCACCAGGCTGGTTGCAATGTTAAATAGGGTGATCAGGGTAAATAAAGACCCATCTCATCTTTTTTTTTTTTAATTGAAGTACAGTCAGTTTACAATATTGTGTCAATTTCTGGTGTACAGCACAATGTTTCAGTCTTACACATACATACATATATTCCTTTTTCATACTCTTTTTCATTATAGGTTACTAGATATTGAATATAGTCCCCTGTACTATACAGTAGAAACTTGTTGTTTATCTATTTTATAGATAGTAGTTAGTATCTGCAGATCTCACCTATTTTGTTCACTACATAGTATTTTATTGTCATGGCTTTTTTTTTATTGAGTTATAGTCAGTTTACACTGTTGTGTCAATTATTGTCATGTCTTATACTTTTGATTATTCTATGCTTGTTTACAGTGTCCCTTTTTAATTGAAATTAGGGAGCCTATAATTATATTTTTCATGGTCAACACTTTTAGTATCTTTAATGTTAATGACGAAACTTCATATCCTGACTTGTGTAAATTTTTAATGTAATACTATGTCTTCATTTATAGCAACATCACACACCCCACATATTTCAGATTTCAAAAATTATTGACGACTATAAAGAACACCTTACATAGACGTTTTTAAAAAGTTCTACTGGCTTTCCATTGTGGCAATTTTGTGGCTATATAAAACAGAATTGTAAATGAATTCATTTTGTACTTAAATTTGTCAATGGATATATATTATCTAGGAGCTGCCAAAGTTGTGAATCTCTGACTTACGTGTTCAGCTTCCTCATTCTTTCTCTCGCTGTATATTTTCAGCTTTTGAACATACAAAGCCTACGTGTGAACAGTATCATTTATTAGGGAACTTTCTACATGTCTCCTTGGCTCGTTCTTAATGTTCAGAGTGTTTTTAGGAATCTTAGAATAGTTGAGGAGAGCGGCTGGGAACTCTTAAGTGGAGACAGCCTTACTTGTTTGCGGTGGACCAAGAGCCTCACGACTCTTGTCCACATCAGCCTTGTCGGGTTACCAGTTACAGCCTCCTCTTCCTCACATCTTCTTGCCACTGACTGCAGTCTCGCTTACCTCTTCCCATGTGCTAAATGAATAATCGAGTGCTTATAACTATGTGTATGTTATTTGAAATACCTAGCAGTCTGCAAATGACCGGATTAAAATAACCCCCAAACTTAATTTTGTTTACATTTTAGGTGTGAGTACTTGATACGGATTAAAGGACAAGAGTTTATCAGTAGAGTTCAAGCCAGTTACCCTCATCTACTTGAACAGGTAGGGACCAATTTTGTTGTTGTTGTTG